GGATATACACGTACTCCACTGTTAAAAAGTTGTCCACAGTGGAATTTACAGATCCAATGTCATCTAGACTCATAGATCTTTCTATTTCTTGATTATGAAAGAAATATTTGTAGTCTTGACATACCTAAAAAACTTTAATAAAAATGTGAATAGTAGATTAGTAGATTAATCTACTAGTCACTGTTCTTATAGTTTAAATTTACACTGGTGTGTACTTTTTGGAGTATGTTGAAGCAGTTTTGTCAAGTAGAATTCCATAAGCGTCAATTCACACTATTCATTTTCAAAGCACAGGCATACACACAGGAACACCAATATGCACACATGTTAATAATGTACACATGTGCAAAAACACCAACATAAACAAATATTGACATTGTGCACACAAAAAGAAATGTCATTATATACATATACTGAGTGTGCATGTACATACAAAAATAGGATCAACACTCCAAGGGACTTAAAGTATTAATTTTGCACAACACTGCTAAACAGTTATCTGCCCTGCTGAACAAGCTATTCAACTTTGGACTTCACTCATTGTAGTGTTTGAGTTGTTAAAGGATCACTTTAGGGTCAGGAACACAAACATGTATTCCTGACCCTATAGCGTTAAAACCACAATCTAGCCCCCCTGGGTCCCTCATGCCTCCATAAATATAACAAAATCTTACTATATTCAAGCCTGAAGCTGTACATCTGCATTCTGTTTGCCTCAGAAAAACAAGCTGTCTGCTGACATCATCAGAAGTGGTGGCCAGATCCAATCACAATGTTTCCCCATAGGATTGGCTGAGCCTGACAAGGAGGCAGATCAGGGACAGAGCCAGCATGATTCAAACACAGTCCTGGCCAATCAGCATCTCCTCATAGAGATGAATTGAATCAATGAATCTCTATGAGGAAAGTTCAGTGTCTGCATGCAGATGAAGGAGACACTGAATGTTTGGATGCATTTTAGGTAGCCATGACCCAGGAAGGATCTCTAACAGCAATCTGAGGAGTGGCCAGTGAAGTTATTACTAGGCTGTATTGTAAACACTGCATTTTCTCTGAAAAGACAGTGTTTACAGCAAAAAGCCTGAAGGGAATGATTCTACTCACCAGAACAAATCCAATAAGCTGTAGTTGTTCTGGTGACTATAGTGTCCCTTTAAGTGTTATCCAGAGGATTGAAACATCTGTCTAGATATGCTTTATAATGTATATGATCAATACATAGGTATATTATTTCTAGGCATATTACTTTAAAATAATTCATGAACATTAAAATTACAGCTGAAAATTATATTTTAGGGAAGATAATCTGTGCAGAACTATAGAATATATAAAAAGGTTAGAATGTTCAACCTGTCATGGTTGAATATATGTATTACCTGTTATATATATATATATATGTATATATAGTTTGTATATTGTATTTTTGTAATATTGTATTCTATTGTAACAATGCAATGTTTTGTGGACCCAGGACATACTTGAAAACGAGAGAAATCTCAATGTATCCTTTCTGGTAAAATATTTTATAAATAAATACATATATAATAGAACAGGTGTGAATTTTGGCAAAATCTCATGTTAATGTGTTTCTTGGTTGACAATCTTATGTTAAAAAACTAGAAACATCCTCAAACTTTCAGCATATAGTGACACAGTTGTTGCCATGTCCTTTCCCTTCAACAGCTGCATAATTTATTTTGAAGCTACATCCCCAAGAAAGCAATTAGTGCTTCAAATTCTTTTTCAGCCATTTATAAAGGTTCTATAACATCACTGGAGCATTTGGCTCAATCTCCGCTCTCTAGGCAGAGTTTTACAATCTAGTCATTCCTGAATACATAAGTAGATACTTTGGATAGGACTATATTTGTTCTCCTGCCAAAAAGACAATAGGGTGCGGTGGAAATGAGGAACCATTAGACAAATTAATTAGCATAGAAATAGGCACATGTCTGAGGGGCAGATGTAATTAAGGTATCTCACTGTCTCAAACAAAGTTGTCCATCCATGGCCTTCCAGCTGCTATAGAATAGCATTTCTCAGAATTTTAATAAGTTAGGTAAACTATGGAGCGTTTTGTTTCTTTTGTTTCTGTGTTATGTTAAAGACATAAAGCACTAAAATGTTACATTACACACGTGCACATATACATTTATCTTTCAATTATGTTTTAAAATCCCATACTGCATGGTGTGTTACGTAAAGTCCAAAAGTAGATAAATGTCAGCGCTGTGCAATAGCCCCAAATAAGTGTTTGTGGGGAAGCTGGGTATTGAGATAAATGTGTATGATTTCCACCTCCACAGCGGTGGTTTAGGAAATTAGGAGTGTTCTGTGTAAACTTTGGATCCAACAGCAGTGATCACAGTAAAGATACAAACCAAGCAAAGAAAGTGCAACAGTTTTTTAATATCATGCAAAAATGAAACTCCAAATCTTTTAAAACTCATACACAGTAAAAAAAAAAATGGTGTTTAACTCCTACTTTCCATCAAGGGATCCAAACAGAGTCCAGAATATGTAGCAGATAAGCAGTGTGCTGAAAGTATTACCACTCCGTTGGTGCAGTAAAAATTCAGAAAATGTCCAAGGATCTAGCCGCAATGCTGCAAGTTCAAATGGAGGGATGACAAAGCACTTAAAGGACCACTATAGTGCCAGGAAAACATACTCATTTTCCTGACACTATAGTGCCCTGAGGGGGTTAACCCTAGATGGACGAGGCACCCAGACCACCTCATTAAGCTGAAGTGGTCTGGGTGCCTATAGTGGTCCTTTAACTGCCAAAGGTGTCTGCCTGGAAAGATAAGATGAAAGGCTTCTAACTCATCCTTTCATCTTATCTTTCCAGGCAGACACCTTTGGCAGTTAAAGGACCACTATAGGCACCCAGACCACTTCAGCTTAACGTGCTTTGTCATCCCTCAATTTGAACTTGCAGCATTTCGGCTAGATCCTTGGACATTTTCTGAATTTCTACTGCACCAACGGAGTGTTAATACTTTCAGCACACTGCTTATCTGCTACATATTCTTAACTCTGTTTGGATCCCTTGATGGAAAGTAGGATTTAAACACAATTTTCTTTTACAAGTGTGTGAGTTTTTTTTTTTTAAGGATTTGGAGTTTCAATTTTATATTATATTAATAAACTGTGTTGCACTTTCTTTGCTTGGTTTGTATTTTTGAAGATACGTTACTGTGATCACTGATGTTGGATACAAAGTTTACACAGAACACTCCTAATTTCCTAAACCATCGCTGTGGAGGTGGAAATCATACACATTTATCTCAATACTCAGCTTCCCCACAAACACTTATTTGGGGCTATTGCACAGCGCTGACATTAATCTACTTTTGGACATTCTATCACATAGGTTTGCGGAATAACCTTTTATGTCTGGCAGCTAAAAATTTTTATCTTTGGACTTTTAATATTTGGTGTCATACAGACGATTTAATTTTATATTGCGCTTTTTTGTTCTATTTTTTGTGTTATGTAAAGTATTCATTAAAAATAAACCTGTTATGTATTGTGCGATTAACAATACAACTCCTCTCCCAACATATAATTAAAAGGATAGAAACTGAACTAGGGGATTTGGCAGCAGTGTAGCTTTTACCAATCTCAAGCAGACAAGTAATATATTTGTCAGAGCTGTGGTAAAATTAACCCCTTATGGACGGCGGGTGTACTATGCCGTCCATGGGGACCCAGCACTTAAACGCCGGCAGGCGGCATGGTACGTCCCCGGCGTCCTATGTGCTTACCTGCTCACCGGCGTGGGATCGCGATGGGGGAACTTGCCTGGTATCCCAGGCGGTCCCCCTGCATTTGTCCGGCCCCCTTGGGCCATGTGATCACGAGGTCCTTGTGAGGACCTCACGATCACATGGACGGAATAGCCGTCCACAGCAGTGCCAACAGGGGAAGTGCCTGCAATGACAGGTAGTCCCCCTGCTGCCTGAAATAAATTAAAATAAAGGTTAAAAATAGTGTAAAATTAAATATATACTTAGATCATATATCTATATATTATATATATATATGATCTGAGTATATATATATATATATATGTATATATATATATACACTTACACATACATACACTGTCTAAATGTATTTTAATATTAATATATATCATTATATATAGTTATATATATTAATATCAAAATACATGTAGAATGATATTAATTAAATATATATATATATATATATATATATATAATTACAATTATATATATATATATAATATAAAATAAATAATTCTATAAATATGTTAAAAATAAAAAATAAAAAAGTAATAAAAAAATTATTAAAATATATATATGTGTGTAATTTTGTTCTAACTGTATTTTGTTATTAATATATATATATATATTGATATCAAAATACACTTAGAATGAAATATATATATCTATATACATAAATATATATACCTATATCTAAATAAAAATAATTAAAGAAAAAAATATATATTTATTTATTTTAATTGTTCGTATATATTTATGTAATATTTTTACATAAGTAAGTCATCTTATTAATTACAATAACCTGATAACCCAGGCAGAAAGTCCAGAGAATTTAATTTGCTAGCACTGTATTTAACCCTGTAACTTTTTTTTACATGGGGGGTACTGTTTTACTCGGGAGATTTCACTGAAAACAAATATTAGTGTTTCAAAACAGTAAAATGTATTACAACGATGATATCATCTGTAAAAATGCAGTTTTTTGCATTCTTCACACACAAATGGCACTTACACTGACAATATAATTGTTGTAATAGGTTTTACAGTTTTGAAACACTAATATCTGTGTTCAGCGAAGTCACCTGAGTATTACAGTACTCCTCATGTACAGGTTTTATGGTGTTTTAAAAAAATACAGTCAAATATAAGTCTTGTGTTTCAGTTTTTTCACTTTGCAATTTGCCAGATTGGTTATCTTGCCTTGGAGACTGTATGGTAGCCCAGGAATGAGAATAACCCCCATGATGGCATACCATTTGCAAAAGTAAACAACCCAGTATTGCAAATGGGCTATGTCCAGTCTTTTTTAGTAGCCACTCAGTCACAAACACTGGCCAAACTTGTTGTTCAAATTAGTTTTTGCCATTTTTCACACACAAGCAAATATTAATGCTAACTTTGGCCAGTGTTTGTGACTAAGTGGCTACTAAAACAGACTGAACATAACCCATTTGCAATACCTTGGGTTGTCTACTATTGCAAATGGTATGCCACACTAATATCTGTGTTCAGCGAAGTCTCCTGAGTATTACAGTACCCCTCATGTACAGGTTTTATGGTGTTTTAAAAAAAATACAGAGTCAAATATAAGGCTTGTGTTTCAGTTTTTTCACATTGAAATTCGCCTGATTGGTTACATTGCCTTTGAGACCATAGGGTAGCCCAGGAATGAGAATTACCCCCATGATGGCATACCATTTGCAATAGTAGACAACCCAAGGTATTGCAAATGGGTTATGTTCAGTTTGTGACTGAGTGGCTACTAAAACAGACTGGACATAACCCATTTGCAATACTGGGTTGTTTACTTTTGCAAATGGTATGCCATCATGGGGGTAATTCTCATTCCTGGGCTACCATACGGTCTCAAAGGCAACGTAAATAATCGGGCGAATTTCAATGTTAAAAAACTGAAACATTTAACCTGCTATATTTGACCCTGTAACTTCCCATAACACCATAAAACCTGTACATAGGGGGTACTGTTGAACATGTGAGACATTGCTGAATACAAATATGTGTATTTTATTGCAGTAAAAGCTAACAGTATTATAAAATTCACAGTTAAAATGTCATGCAGAACTAAAAAAAATAAAATTTCTTAATTTCTCACATTTGTTTTATATTTTATTCATATTAAATTATGTTTCATAGCTAAATATTTGATGTTAAATGAAAGCCCTATTTCTCCTTAATAGAATTATATATAATAAGTGTGGGTGCACATAATATGAAAGAGGTGAATTACGGTTGAACAGACAGTTAAATTACATGTTTTGTTTACGTTTTATTTTGATCAAAACGTGTACATTTGGCCCAGTCCTTAAGGGGTTAAAGTAACCCTAGCCTTATTAAAAAAAAAAAAAAAAAATACATCATAACAAAGTGTGCATTAGGGAAATATAATGCAATCTCAGGGTACTGTAAATCATTTTCCTTGTTTAGATTTTCCTAAAACTGATGATGTGCAGTGTTAATGCGTAATTTCTATTATACTTTGTTTTGTATTAAAGGTAATGGTGTGGGGTAATTATGGAAGGATGGAAAGGAAGCATTTCATGGGAGTTGCAAGGATACTTTTAGAAGAACTGGATTTGTCAAGCATGGTCATTGGCTGGTACAAGCTATTTCCAACATCTTCAATGGTCGATCCATCAACAGGTCCTCTTCTGCGTCAATCTTCACAGCTTTCTTTGGAAAGCACTGTTGGACCTTGCTGTGAGAGATCTTAATGGTAAAGGAATGGACCTCTGTCATTTTTATAACAAAAATCCCACAATCAAGGATTTGTTTGGATCTCTGACCTCAAACGTATTGCATGTTTGATCAGTTGTAATGCTGGAAGCTGAACATAACCAAACAACCTTATGAGAGAAGAAAGAGTGATTTTTCTCTTAAGTATGAAAGTTACTCTGGGTGAATGCCCTGAGAGTAAAATCATGCAAATACCTCTAGTCTCTCTTTGTTTGATGTCTTCTATACACCTAAATCTGAGATTGGGAATAGTTAAAGTTGCAGCAGTAAAAAGGAAGGTATTTTCATAGCTTTCTATAAAGAACTTTTTAAACTTTCCTACTACTATTGCCTAATGCATTTCTCGGATGTGACTGGAACAAGGTATATACGTAATATATATATACAATTTATGCTTAAAAAAAAGAACTGCAACTTTCGTTGGGAATAATATTTTATTTATTGTATAGCAAAATATATTTCTGATTTTCAAACTGTGCCAATCTACCAGGAAGTGTCTTTACCACTTGGGTAATGCAGTTGAATAATCACCGTGGGGATGAAATATATAACTGAATTAGACTAGGTAATGAAATTGATAGTATAGGTAATATGTTCAGGGAAGCACTTTTGTTTAAGTGCTATTGACCAATATAAATTTAAGCCATTTATGCCAGCATATAGTTTAATGAAATGTTCTATAATTTAATAATGACATTCATTTTAAGCATGTTTTGAGCATTATGAGACAAATCTTTGAATTTTAAAATACATATGTTTTGAATTGTCTTCATGTATACCACTTTATGAATTAAGAATTGTGCACACGTTCCATCAAACAGATATCTCCAGACCATTCTAGAAAGGATGGTGAAAATATAAAAAGTGTTCTGAGAATATTTTCTAGAAAAATATTGGAACTTAAGAAATATTTTTCGCATGTTGAAAATGTATATTTAACGTACGTTTCCTGCCAGCCAATGTTTTATTTAACATAATCATATATTGACTACTTTTTAACAAAGGTAGTTACCAGACGGGAAGAGATTTTATAAGGTGGCTAATTAACCCCTTAAGGACACATGACATGTCATGATTCCCTTTTATTCCAGAAGTTTGGTCCTTAAGGGGTTAAAGCTTCCAGATATAACTTGCAAAAAATTTATAAAAATATGATATTATGTTGCTGCTTATAAAAATCCCTAATACCAAAATGATGACAGTTCATGTTTGTAGAATAATAAGGACTATATTGTTTGAGTATATATAAATTTAAAGTGTGTATCATGCTATTTGAAAACAGAATATTTTGTTATGCATCCAGCCACTTGGCAACCATAAGAGTGGAGTCCTAAAACGTAGAGGCTAGCATGTTCTTAAGGTGAATGTGGAAATATAGAGGTCCTTCTACAAAGATAGCTTAAAATAATATGACTATTTGTCATAATTTCAAATATTTAATGTTGTGGTACACAGCAAACAGTAAGAGTGAAGTTAAGAGGAAGTGTGAATAACAACTTCAGTGCTGTTACATGTAGACCCTCCAAACCCTAAACACTGATAAAGCTCTATTTGAACCTAGTTAAATGTACATAGTTCAACTTACAAACAAAATATGGATTTGTCAATAGTTAATAGTCTAACTTGTATAATTGTAATTAATTTTTAACCTGCAATCCCAGTCAATTTTGTTAGTCCACATAGCGATTGTACATAAATATATTCCCTTGAAGCTATTCCCGACAAAATAATGAAAATGTATTTATGTCTGTAGAAGTGATTAAGCCATTTTAAGAGGTTATTAATAGAGGTTAATAATAATTTTAAAAAACAACTTTCAGTTGAAATTGATTTTTAGATAGATTTTATCCAGTTATACAAATGACATTTAGCCAATAACAGGGTAAAATGGCTTTGCTGTGCTTAGCAAAAAAGATATTGATTGTCCAAAAAAAAAAAAAAAAAAAAGAATACACTAGACTTTCCCACCATCTAAGCCATTGTGCAGTCATGCTAATGTTGATAGCTGTGTATTTCTCATTTGGATAGACCCAAAAAATAACATGTATCTGCTAGTTTGCAATGTATTTCATGACAGTAATCCCTAATTGATTCTTATGTAACTTAAATAAGTTTGTCTAGTGAATAACCACAAAGAAGCAGTCTAAGCACCACAGCTACTACATGCAGATCTCCACCATTCCCTGGTTCTTGGTCAAACCATTTCAAGACATTTTATTAAAACTGGGGGTGTCTTAAATGAACTTGAGGCACCTACAGCCCAGCCCACACTTGTCTAAACTGATAGTTTAGATGTTCCACTTCCCCATTAGCAATATATGTTCCATATTCTAATCTCATTCTTTGGCAGAGTGCATATGGTGATGGCATGTAGTGGTTGAATAACCCTGCAAAGTAAGTTATTTATTCACACTTCCTCTCTTAATGTTAACAATTTAAATGTCATCTTAATGTTTTATTTGTGAAAGAGTGCGTTGTGATGAATTTGAAGCGAAGTTTCAAAATTCTAATTGGATTAACATAGCTGAAACATTGCAAATCAGATGTTTCCAGTTTGACAAATTTGTCAGCTCATCACAACCCACTTTTTAGCCAATAAACCAAATTCAGTGCTTGCTTTCTTCCTGAATACAGCTGAAAGTGTTTTATTTTAACTTTCATTAAAACTGTTCCTCACTAAATAAATGATGCATGATTTATATTTTTTTATAAATCCTATAGAAATCCCTAGCAAGATTCTCAATAGTAGCTAGACTGGGTAATAGCTAAACTATTGAATACTTATTTGCATATATCTGGAGCATATTTAATCAATACATTAAGACCATATTTATTAGCTAAAACAAGTTTTGCATGTAAATAATTGGATTCATAGAAAGTTGATTTAATTGTAAAGAATCCAATATTATCATTTCAGTAATTAGCAAAAAGCTATTTTGCTACATATGATGTTTTTCTCAATTGATATTAGCGCAAAAATATGGCTTTATCCACTAAACATTGAGTTTTTATGGCTTAAAAACCAAGCAAAATTTAGGTCAAAGTACACAAGTTTGAAAAAATAAAAAAAATTACATGAGGTTGGAGATTATTAAACCTTGATGTTTTGCCCTAAATTCTGCATATTGGGTGTGATCTCACTACAGCTCTCTCTTAAGTGAATAGCTATAGATCTTAAAAAAATGTGTAGTATTAGGATGTCACTGCATGGGATCAATGCGCAAATAAACCAGTTCCGCTAGTCGTTACTAAAAGAGTTGAAAAATGTACAGAATGATTTTTAAATACAAAACACTTTTTTTTATTTTCTGCCAGTTTTGTAATAATGTGAAATGAAAGTGTCTTGATATTTTCACATTGAATTGTAACTTTAAGGGCTGAGAAAATAGAAAGGATGCTGCTTTTGGGATGCTATGTTCTCCTCATCCACTGTTTAAGGAAATTATTAAGAGTGTGGAACTAACTGGCATGAATGACGCAATTGGCCTCATAAAAGTTGATTAGATTACAACTTGTATTGTGTCTTTTGATAGGTTATAGTTATCTTGAGAATGCAGTGGAACAGTGAGAAAATGGCATCTGTCATGTGCCATAACTGATAAATGTGGCTTTGCTCTTTAGCAACTGTGATGATTGGCAGAAATGGAGTCAGGAAAACAACAGCTTACTAAAACACATACAACATATTTGTTTTACCTGAACATGATCACATTTACCAGTGTTGATTTTTGTAGCGTTACAGCTGCTAATTGTAATATAACCTTAATGTAACAAGGTTGACATGTGGACATAAACGTCTTGTTAATTATTGTAAAAAAAAAAGGGAAAAACTGATTTGTCCTGAGAATTTATTAATTTTAGTTTTAAAAAAATGGCTGCCAAGACCAATTAAGACAATTGCCTCAGTGCCAAAAAACTTTATTATTTCAAACCAAAATGGGGGTACAAAATCCATACTTCATTTTTCTTTTAAAAATAGGTAGGACATGTTGACACATCAAAATAATTAACATGTCTTTTATTGATCCCTCTGATCACATATATACAGAAGATTTACAAACAGATCCAAGTTTTATACATATTGGTTTCATAACTAAATAGCTATTGGATAATCTGAAGGAATAAACATTTAAAGGAAAGATCTTATCATTTTTTAAATTACGAAATATAAAAAAAACTGCAAAATACATAGCCTTGTGTATTATTTTGTAGGAAATACATATTCAGATAATACCTGTTTTCAGTGAATCTTCTTGATTAGCCTTGCTCCATGGGGCATCCCTGTCCAAGACCTGTTTGATCATAAGCACTACTTTTAAGATCATGCACAATTTAAAGGTCTGAATTGGTCCAGAGTGCATATTTGAGATAGCCTGCACTTGCGCATGATGTCAGGATTTGTGAAAGCACAGTAGCACTTGATAACCTGCATGTATTTCCGACCCAAAAAAAATGTATTTAATTAAAGATGGCCTGCACCATAGAGCTAGTTTGAGCAAGGAGAAATGTGGAAAATAAGTATTTATTTACTTAGTAACACAAAGTAATACACAATAAAGGCTATAATAAATGCAATCTTTTTTAAACAATAAAAAGATTTAAAAAAATTATTTAATTCTTTGTGGATGTATACATATTTTTAACACATTGAAATATTGTGTTTTATCATCTTTAAGAAAGAAATCAAACAAGACATGATTATTTCCACAATTAGAACAAAGCCTATTTTGAAACTGGCAGAAATATGTTTGGCATAATATGGTAATAACTTGTGATACTTTAATCATATTTGCTTGGAAATCCTTAATCACACTGGCTTTCATTGTCCCTAACACATTGACTCTTAATATCCCCAACACAATGGCTTTCAGTGCTCCAAGCTCATTGACTTTCAATGTTCCAAGCTCATTGCTTTCAATACACCTATCATATCGGCTTGCAGAGCCTCCTTTGCATTGGTTTCCAGTATCTGGCAATCAGGTCTTGGTATAAAAGTTTTTTTTTTCTTGTGTGTGTATATAATGCATCTGTCTGTATATAGAAGCAATAATACATTACATTTTAGCAAGATTGAATTAATGTCAATGTTTAATGCTTAGACAGAGAGAAAATCAAATTCTAATTTTCCAAATACAAGTACACCTTGCTTTATTTTTATATAGGAAATACCACAAACAATAGACTCTAGCTGCTATTTTATAATGTGTTGGTTTTGTATCCATGTTTGTTTGTAGCCACGTAGGTTAGTTTGCTTTCTGAAGCAGCAGTTGTTATATATATATTTTGTCAATGAATATTTAACTACATCCCTTGGAAATTAGTGTAGATATATCTTTACGAACCAGTAGAGGCAGCAGACTTACAGATTTTTTTTAATTTTGGGATATTATTTACCTTTAAGGGGGGCTCAAAGTGCTCTAGTGAATGCCTTTGATGTTTTACCAAAACATATTTCTAGCAGTCACTGGTATGCCATTGAATAACATTAATATTGTGAACCTAGGTTGAGTAAAAGGCTAGCAAGAAATCTTACCCGAGACCCTGATATTTGACCATGCTCTACATTTGATCCATTGGTTAACTGATGCGTCCAATTGCTAGGACTAATTTTGTGTGTGATGTAAAATTTGATGGCAGATAAGAAATACTGGCCAATGTCATGATTCTAATCAGTATATATTAATATTATTAGTTACATTTATTATACATGATAGCTATATGCTTATCACACTGTTCCTGAATTGCATGAGAGGCTATTATTTTCATTTACCATATGTTCTGTAAGTTTTTTTTTATGCTAGCATTAAATTCTTTATTCATAAGGTTTATTTTTTCTTTCTATTGGTAAAGCATTGTACATTTCAATGTAAGATAACTGATTCCAAGCATATATGAATGTAAACTATGTCATGTCATATTATCTATGGTAATTTCCCCAAAAATTACCCATAAACAAATAATGTAATTTTTTGGTGATCCAATATAAAGTCAGCAGCACTTACATGTGGAAAGCCACGGTGCGTGAAACGTGTTGGTAACAAGGGAGTAGCCTCAACATGCTTCGGAAAAAGGAAGTACAATTAAACCAGTTTTGGATTCTTTCTACATACTGATTTGTCAATTATGTTTATTGTAACTATACAAATATATGCATATTTAATGCAGGTAGTTTCTTCACATTTTGCTTCCGAATGGATTTAGTTTTGTTTGCTAAAGCGAAATTATATTTTGTGTACTATTACACACAGTCCATTTCCATAGTACTACATAAGAAAATAACCTGAAGCCCTGAAAATGTATTTGGAAAAGCATCTTCTATTTTTCAAGATGTCACTGAATACATGTGTAAAATTATAATTGTAAATGATGTGACCCTCTAACATAATCATCCAGTGACCCTCTAACAGGACATCGCAGGACATCACAACGTACATGTTCTACCTTTTTATTGTTTGCTAAAAAAAAAAAGTTTTGACGTTTTCTGCAACATATCTTATCTAAATTTATCTAAAAATATTATCTAAAAGCCAATGAAAGATCAATGTGAGCTGAGTAGCTGACTTGACTATGCCCCATGGCCTATCACTGTCCACTTATTATTTCTCTCTAGAATACTATAGTGATTCAAACAGTGATCGGCTGTTGGGGTCAACTCAGAACCCAAGCTCACACTTTTCTCTCACTGGCTGAGCTACACTGCTTACCTTCAAATCATCAGGAGGTATTGTGAAAAGGGGAGATGTTGCTATAGGAATGAGGTCATGCTACTGAAAATAGCAAAACATTTTTCTTTTTATAAGCAAGACAAAAGAGATTGAAATATGGAGAAAATCGCAGCATGAGCATAAAGCAAAAATCTATCAAATGCAATGCAATGTTAGCGCCCAGAGTGTTTCTTTAAATTATGGGTAATTGTAAAAGGATGTATGACTTATTTTTATGGTAATATACATTGAATGCGTTTTCAGTTGTTTAGATGTTAAACTGAGTTAGAAAAAGTTTCAAACTTGGCTGTTTTAATAGCCTGGCAAATCGGTGTTGCATTTTGCTTAAATTAACCCAACATGTTTATATTACATTTAAATTGACTTTATTTTCAAACTCAGTGGCAGATAGCTGCAGGTTGCGTGTAACATGCAACCATCCCTGTTTTAGCATTGGTAGGAAATCTTTACTATCTCACATGATGCTCTGCTATCCAGAGGGCACCTTCGAAGATGTTAATAGAATTATGAAGTGCCAAATCCTTAAAATGTTAGCTAACCTCCGACAGATATTCCACATAGCAATAAATTACTCAATAACATCATTCTATTTATCAAATCAATAAAAGGGGCCAATAATTCAGAAATATTTTAGTAACATTGTTACAGATTCTTGTAAAGAATTTATTTTTTGTGGCAACTAATATTTTTTTGGAATTTCAAAGTAAAATCAAGAAGATACATTTTACAACAATGAAAACCCCAAACAAGAAGTAAGTAAGGGGAGTAGGGGAAAGGAGTGGTGAGAAAAGGGGAACATATGATAGCCGGCAATATACCAGCAAGTATAGAGCAAAACAAGGAATTTAGTTTTGAAAACTAATAGAGATAACACAGATACTACTACTATACATTCCTTTATATAAGCAAAAGCTGCTTAGTACTCATTGTTTCTATGTAAAACAGTAGAGCTAGTAGGTAGTTCTATTTGACCAAGCATCAGAATTGTAAGTTGGTGATTCCTCATTCCTAAAGAGAAAAATTGCTTACCTATATATTTCTGACAGGATTCCATTTCATCCTAAAGACATATTATATAGTACTGTACTTTAAAGGAACACTCCAGACACATAAAGCACTTCAGCTTGGTGAAGTGTTTCATGTATAAAGAGTGGTCCTCTTTTTTTTTAATTTTATAAAAGTGCCAATTGAAAAAAAAACCTGTAATTTGATAAATAAATAATGTTACCATCCTCATGGCTCGCAAGTCAGATAGCTGGCCTTGTTACTTCCTGGTAGTTTATCTCCATGGAGATTACCTCAAAAGAAGAGAATTCCATGTGGCACCTGGATTGCAAAGAATTCCCAATAAACTGTAAACATGCTTATTTTCCTTGTGGGAATATCTACAAAAATATTTTAGTTTTATTTTTTTCCCATTTATTTGTTTTCATATGATTTATCTACATAAATACCCTCAGACATTAATGGTGACTTCTTTAGAAATGTTTTTTTTCTAACCGATTGTGATCATTTGAAAAGCCTGTCTGACAATATTCAAATGAGTCCAGATTTTGGTCATTTAAAAATCATTATATGACAGATTTATATATAGTGCATGTTATTACATTTACAAGAACCTCTAATGGAATCACTATAAGTTGGGCCAATAAACCGAATTGTTAGCTGCAGTGGAATTACAGTATGATATGCGATTATTGATCATGAGGCACACAATTCATACACATAAGGGAAAATAAGCATATGTATAAGATTGTTAAACAGGTTCAATTACACATAACCCATCATTGTACAGAGACATAATAGTGAGACATGTATCAATATATGTAATATCTGGAAGTAGCCAACAGTAATAAGTATGTGCATAGGGCTCAATTTCAGTTAATTTGGAACAATATCAGAAATTACTTCAATTCTATTTAAATGATCTTTAAGTCATCATTAAAATCTATGGGAATTTGTGTAGGCCTCTGGCCTCGATTTAAGATTTTTTGGATAAACTTTTGAAATAGTGTTTTGCATAGACTTTTTCAATGATTTGAATAATTTTTTTTTTTTAAATACCATAGATTTTAATGGTTACTTCTTTAGATAAATCATTTGAAATATTTTTTCAGATTGTGAACATTTGAAAAGCTTATCAAAAAATATAAAAATGAGACCAGATTGTCATCATTTCTGATGCTGATATAAACAAATTAAATTGAGGCTATTGTGGAATAGTTCTATATATATATATATTAATCTGTGTGATAAGTTCACAGCATAATGAACCTTTCTTTTTTTTTATTAGACTATGATTTTATCACATAAGTGGTAGGTTACAGGATTATTCAATAAACGGTGAATTGTCAAAAATGTAGGCCTCGATTTAATAAGATTTCCAAATGATTCAATACCGCTAGAAAAGATTTCCAAATGATTCAATACCGCTAGAAAAGATTTCCAAATGATTCAATACTGCTAGAAAAGATTTCCAAATGATTCAATACTGCTAGAAAAGATTTCCAAATGATTCAATACCCCTAGAAAAGATTTCCAAATGATTCAATACTGCTAGAAAAGATTTCCAAATGATTCAATACCGCTAGAAAAGATTTCCAAATGATTCAATACCCCTAGAAATGATTTCCAAATGATTCAATACCCCTTGAAATGATTTCCAAATGATTCAATACCGCTAGAAAAGATTTCCAAATGATTCAGTACTGCTAGAAAAGATTTCCAAATGATTCAATACCCCTAGAAATGATTTCCAAATGATTTAGCTACAGAAGTCACCATTAAAGTCTATGGGAGTTTTTGTAGATAAATCGTTTGGAAAGTTTTCCTAACAGAATGTGAATTCCAAGTGAATTTCTGATTTTTGGCCAAAATAATCAAACTGAAAACATAGCTGACTTTCCCATTCAGTTACTTTTTCCTTACAATCTGACAATCGCTTTGGATTTTGAGACAATCCACACTTTAGTGAATAATTCTAATAGTTTAATTACGTTCCTCAGTCATTAAATAGTGTAGTGTGGACCCTACCATTTACATATAAAAACATTTATTAGTAGGTTACATATATCTACCCCCAACCAAAACTTACCTAGAGATTCTAAACACATTTTAAGGGTCACTTTACGTCTGATAATATATAGTCATTGCCAATATTATGGTGCAAAAAGGTCCTCTGGTGTTGTTCCAATGCAGATTTTCTTGCAAATGCAGCAGTTTACAAAAATGTATAAGACTCCTCCTTCAGTAACTGATGTCAAAGGAATAATTTATACTTCCTTCTTTGTTTTACAAATATGTCCAACTTTCTAGCACAGTTGTAAGAACACTGTGCACAACCATTTAACGAAGTTATGATTAGGGCTGTTCATAGGATGATAGCAGCTGCCATACGACTACAATCAGCTTATATACTAGTTCCACCCATCAGATGTGGACTGTTGGCTGGAATGCATATCCTATATATAACGGCTAGAAAGGTTTGCGGTATGCAATCAGACCTCTGGAAGGTACTCTTCTACTGCTGGTTCCTTGGATTTGCAGCAAAAGTAATTGCATTAAAAAATTATGTTACTTCCAGTTTGGAGTGTCCTTTTAATTGACAAGCACTATACTTGTTGCAATAATTAAATACGTATTAGTACATTGAATTTTTAATTTTTTTAATTAAAAGGACATTCTAGGCACCATAACAATTTAATGTTATTGCAGTGATATGTCATTATGACAGTGGCATACCACTGTCCAAAAGTCTCCAGTCACCATAATCCCTGCAATTACATGAAGTTGTTATGGTTCTTAGAATGTCTTGTCAATAAAAAGAAAAAAAATCAATGTACTGATACCTATTTACCTACTGTTTTTGAATAGTTTATCATTGAATTAAGGTCCCTATCATCCTGGTGCCTCTCTGCTGCTTTGTGTAATGCTATTGCACAAGCCCGAGCAGCAATAAGTGGTATTATAGGTTTAGAGTGTCAGCACCTCCAGTCTATAACTGGTATGAGTTTGTACACTCTGAATTGCCATCCAGATGGAGGTGGAGATACGGGTACCTGGGAACTCATTCTGGGTTAAACCATTACGAAAACAGTGAGATAAAATGGTTATAATTCCTACCGTGACTCAGCGAATCTAATTCAACGAATATTACAAACAGGAAGATTTTATATTCCATACAAATTGCCTGACAGCATTATTATTTATAAAGCTAAATTACTTAAAGGACCACTATAGTGCCAGGAAAACATACTCGTTTTCCTGGCACTATAGTGCCCTGGGGGTGCCCCCACCCTCAGGGCCCCCCTCCCGCCGGGCTCTCAGATGAGGAAGGGGTTAAACTTACCTCTTTCTCCAGCGCCGGGCGGGGAACTCTCCTCCTCCTCTCCGCCTCCTCTCCTCCTCCTTGGCTGAATGAGCATGTGCGGCAAGAGCCGCACGCGCATTCATCCAGTCTCATAGGAAAGCATTCACAGTGAGAAGCACAGTGAGAAGCACGCAAGCGCCTCTAGCGGCTGTCAATGAGACAGCCACTAGAAGCTGGATTAACCCTAATGTAAACATAGCAATTTCTCTGAAACTGCTATATTTATAAAAAAAAAAGGGTTAAAGCTGGACCTGGCACCCAGACCACTTCATTAAGCTGAAGTGGTCTGGGTGCCTATAGTGGTCCTTTAAGGATAGGGGCTTATATCCTGATGGTAGGTTACCTTCAATTTTGCAATGAATATAAGGTTAAAAAAATGGTTTTGTTTAATGCGTTTAAGATCTGATTTATAGAATTTATCTAAAATTTATTATCTTAATATTAAACTACGTGAAAGTACAATAGTCCAGAATCCACAACTACAGCAGGAGCAGTGTGTACAGTAGATAGATATTAAAGAATGCTTTGCATCATTGCACTATATATGCAACAGTAATTTTTTTTTTTTTTTTAAGTAGCTAAATTGGAACAAACAATAATTTTTCCAACTCACCAGTTTTGGAAAAATATTGGGACTTTGCTGTTGTCGCCTCATCATAACTCACTTTTAAGTTAATAAAATTGTAAAAGTTATTTTTTTTTTGTCAGTGATCTGTTTATTTAAACACACAAATGTTGCCATTTTTATATTCATAAACACAAATTAAAGTATATACATGTTTAATGTTATTTCATTAACATAAATGTATATTGTTGAAATATACAAATTGTAATTAAAATGTTACCTTTAAGATTATTTATTAAAGGTCACTGTTAAAGGCACAGTGAAGTAAAAATGTTATTATTGTTTATGTTAATAGCAATTCCATAATATGTAGTTGTTGTTAATTTGATAATCTAACCACATTTAAATGAAAAAAAATAAACTATTTATTACAACATAACATTAGCACTAGGAAAAATATAAAAATTATGATTTGCAGAAAATAGTTCTATATCGGACTTGTGTAATAAAAAATCCAAAGCTTAAAGGTGACTGTTCCAGATTCCACAGATTTCTTAACATGTTAATCTGTCCCTATACTTAACAAATATGTGTTTGCGAGTTCTGAAAAATAACATTACATGTCAAAATCTACACAGCTGTATTTAGTTAGCTCTGTCCTGGAACTGAGCACATCCACCCTGGTTCCATGGCACTCATGAGTTCTGTCCTTTATTGTCAACGATTCATAGTATATAGAGTATGTTTATGTCTCTCCTCTCCCAAGGCAATGTATGTATGTCTTTGTGCCAAAAACTGGATTGTGATGTCAATTTGCTCCTGTTGTAGTAATACCGTATCTCTCTTTCTCTCTCTCTCTCTATACATATACAATGTAGTATTCTTGTCAGATTAATAAGGTGCATATTTCCAGATGACCTTTATAGTCATCAAGAAAAACTTTAGGTTTAAGGAGCAGTTTTGGTGTATAAATTAATGCCCCTGCACACTCACTGCTCAATTATCTGCCATTTAGGAGTTAAATCACTTGTTTATGCAACCCTAGTCACACCTCCCAGCAAGTAACATGCACAACTTTTCTTAACACTTCCTGTAAATAGAGCTCTAATGTTTACACGTCCTTTATTGTAAATTCTGTGTAATTTTGAATTTATTGTCTCCTGCACTGGAAATACCTCACAAGACCTTGCAGGAGCCTCCTGTATGTGTTTAACGTTAATTTTACAGAGCAGGGGATACAAACTTCTAGAGTAAGTAAACATCTGATTGAAAATGAAAGCATTTTTATGGTTTAGGAAGGTGTAACTAGGGCTGCATGGAAATAAACAGAAGTGATTTAACTCTTAAATGGCAGAGAGCTGAGCAGTGGGACTAAGGATGTATGACCTATACCAGGGGTAGGCAACTTACGGCACTAGTGTCATGCACGGCACTCAAGGCTGCTAGAGCCAAACATGCTCTGGCCTATCAGGAGTCCTAGTGAAACTTCAGATATCTGCTAATACGAAAAGGTGGTGAAGGACAATCCTCAATTTATGCATTGCAGCACGTGGAGGAAGTGATCTCAGATCACTTCCTCCCAGCACTTGTGAATGGGAATCCACACTGTAGTAGAGCAGCCTGCAGCCGCTGTTGCAGCTCCTACCCTGTACCTGGCCAGCCTGGTCCCCACTGTAACCCACCCACACTGCTAGATATACACAGAAATGCAGAATAACCCTTCCCTCATACAAATAATATGAACAGCCCACACACAAACATACACACAATCCGCACAAACACTACACCACTAACAATCCACATAGATACACACAATGCCACATGCAGTCTCTCACATGCAATACCCCAAACAGCCCCACACATACACACGCTACCAAACACACAATGTGACATATCCATTCACACACAATTACACAAGCAGCCCCCATACACAGCCCACATTAATAGGTATCATACACGATACCACAAGCTACTTATGCACATATACAATATACTAGCTCATATACGCACAAATACAACGATACAAAGCAACCACAGTATCAATAAGACAAGCAGAATACGGCAGCATACACACCTCAATTTAAAAATAATAGGACCGGCACGCTACGGGACATCACAATCCTATATAGGTACAGTGCTGCTAAAAGGTTACCTACCCCTGACCTATAGAATAAAAATGGCTTCATTAAGCTAAAGTTGTTTTGTTGGCTGTAGTGTTCCTTTAACTTAAGCATTTTTTTTTATTCTACTGTCCCTTCATAACAACATTTACAGATGAACATAAGTTACTTTATCACTTGGTAGTGGACTTTAGCTAATTATGTTTTTATTTATTTTTTGCATTTGTTGTTTTGTATTTTTCTCTAATCTTTAAATATACAGAAGAGTTTTCAAAGTGAGTCCCTTATTATATCACAAGTTAATTAGCCAGTATTTTTGTCTAAGAAATAGCAAAGAGGAACCTGTTATACGTGCTAAAGTGAAAGATCTCACATATTCATTTCCTATTTTTTAACAAAATAGTATAGAAAAATTAATATCAAAGCATCTATGCTTTGAAGATGGAATATTTCCATTCCTTAAATTGAACTTGGCTATTGATTCTTCCTGGTCATAGAAATGTTAAAGTGTAAGAGGTCCGTAATGGTGTGTGTATCTTCTTGTATTGCGTTTATACTGCCTTAATATATCTAGGTATAAAGAGATTTAGTATGCCTATAATTTGTTCATTACAATGACATTGTATGACGTGGAAAAATGTTGAAGATGCACAAAATTGGTAAGTGTATATTTATCAGTCGCAAATAATGGGTTACCTAGTAAAAATGAATCAATTTGTGTAGATTTGGATGAAAGTAAGACATTCTGCATTGTAAATGACAAAAAAATGCATTAAATTTAATATCAAAACTTTGAATTTTTTACTCTAATAACTCCATCTTTTTAATGAGTGATCATTTTCAAATCCAATGCTCAGGGGACATAATAAACTTGAAAAAGAGCCACATTCAATATTTGGAATCATTAAAAAAAATGTTTTTGTTGTTGCATTTTTTTGTCTGTGTGACTTAAATCCAAAGAAAAACTATATTTAAATAACTTGTGACCATAAAACATAAAATGTATTTTAAAGAAAATTAACATTTCTTTTTGTAACAAAATCGTTTAGTTTTTATTTTACCAATTGTTCTGTGTTTTAAATAAATTAAGTAGCCTTAATGTATACATTGTTTTACGTTATTATTAGGTATGTTTTTAACTGAGACTTTATTTAAAGTACAATTTACGTGTAGCCCTTAAACCAACAGAAATTAAGTAAAAGCATGATTTAGAAACTCTTTCTTACACTTTTTTTTCCCCCAATGAAAACGACAGTAAGAAAGATATATTTTAGTACCATCATATAGAATTGTCAACTGCATGTCGCTCTAGGTTTGGCCTACAAAGTAGATTGTACTGTGCATATCAAATTGTAGTTATGTTTAATGTAACGTTTGACATCCAGTATTCAGGACATTTAGCTAAATACTGCAACTTGAATACATGGAGAAACTATATGATACATAAAGTTTGCTATTTTACTGTCCGTAGATTGAATTCAGAAGCTGTGTAATGGTTGAAAAATAAAAAACATTTATTGTCAATCTTGAGGTAAACTGTTCACATTAGTTGCAAAAAAAGAAATAAAAATCTTTTTGTACCAAATCTTGTTGTTTATTGGATAAATGTGTAAAAAGTTCCTTAAATGAAATATGAATTCCCTAAAGAGATCTAAGTAAATAAAAGTATGTACAGTTTGACATATAAGCATTGCGAAATTCTATGTTTTTCTTGGGTAGAAGAATTCTGCAAGGTTAAATGGCTGCTAATATGTGATTTCAATATCTGACATCAGCAAATGGGGCTTGGAAACAATGAATTTTCCCAAACATTTTCATTGGCAAAATAATAACAGAGAGATTGTGAAAGTTTGGTGCTTTTCCTGGTGGGTTTTTATTTTTGTTTGTTGCTCACTTTGTTACATCTGTCTGTTTTTTTTCTCGTATTGCCTCTATTTCTTTTGCAATGCAACAGCTTTATCAATTTTCCTTTTTTGTTTTGTTTTTCCACCAGGAACTTGTTCTGTTTTACTCTTTTTTTTTTTTGCAAAAAAAATAACACTAGACCAGTTTTAGAACAATTTGTTTAATACAAATTGATTAGACACCGAAAATAAGACACTTCTCAGAACACAAAATTACATTTAATTATTCCTAAATCATAGAAAATGGTTGTCAGAATATTATTTGCCCATTTGGAGCTCACTGAATGCAGGTAGTAGGAAGTTGCTAATTTTGCCACAAGGTTACTGCAAGACATATTGCCAGTAGACTAAAGGATCATTGAGGTTATTGGAACTATAGCAAACAGTCAATTAAACTGCAAATGTTATTGCTAAAATAGCCAAGGTATTCTGTCCTACAATTTTCCATTGGCTGCCAGTTTCCATGAAGTGTTTTTTGGGGGAAGGAAAGAAGTAGTTTTTTTTTTTTTTGGAAGGGGCAGCTTTATCTCCCATACTATAGCCAACCTTAGACTGAAATGAGCTCTAAGACTGCTCACTGGATCAACAATATCAATGCTACTGAAATTGTACATCCTATTTTGCAGTCCAAGATCGATCCAACTTGCTAATGCATTATGCACATGCCAGTTTATGCTGAAAGTCTTATTATATAAATTAAACATTGCAATTTAGTACTTCATTGCTGAAAGTATAGGTTAAGAACCAAAGAATGATCACAATAATTTTTTTAGGTTATTCCTGTCCCACACCTGATGTGAGCACCCAAGCTTACTGACTCGTTTGGGTCCCACAAGATATTTTTTTAACTATAGGTTTACAGCTGAAGCAGTTATTTGATAACATCTTGTATTGCATCTAAGACCACTATGCACTCTTTGCCTAAACAACTGATCTATTACTGTATGGGTTGGGGGTATATTCCCTATGAAACTGAATAAGGATAGTATTTTATATGATCCATGGATACACTGTGAACGTACTATGGGATAAATAATTTGCTTTTCTTAATATTCACTATAAAAAACATTCCAATCCTAAAATCTATGCAGCAGCTTTGAAGATTGCTATAAAAATAATAGGAAATTGTATTGTGACCTATTAGATATTTCTATATTATTATTAGCCCTCATTCGAAGTCTATGGCATGCCCCAAGTTATCAGTTGCTTAGCAACCTTTGACGATAGTTCAGTATCTAACAGCACGGATGTATGCAAGTGATGCTAGTTTAAAACAGACACAGATCCACGCAGATCCAAATCTACAATGCATCATATCCTTTATTATTATTATTATCATAAAATATAGTGTGTATGATAAAAACTTGCTTTGAATTTGGTATAAAGACTTTAAGCTTTTATTATATTTGTTTGTATTTGATGTAAATAAGCATTTTTTCTTCCAGTGTACATTTTAACCAGAGGTATCCATTTTTTGACATTTAAAAGAACACTCCAAGCATCATAACCACAACAGTTTGCTGTCGTTTATGGTAGCATGAGTGCCACTGTGCCCCTCACCCTATTGTAACTAGCCAAACCATTTTAGAATGGTTTAATTTCTTGCCATAACCTGCCTCCACTAGTAACAACCGAGAGCTGGACAATCTCAAGCAGGATCTTCTCAGCTAGCTCAAAGCTGATCTCTCTCAGCAAATAAGCTACGCCCTGCACTGCAAGGTTTAGTTCCGACTTTAAGCTTTTATTAGGTTTACTTTTATTTTATGTAAATATGCATAAATTCTTCCACTGTACATTTTAACAAGGGGAATATTGGCACTTTATTTACTGGCACTTTAGGGGAGACTTCAAGCACCATAACTACTACAGCTTGCTGTAGGTTATGGCGGCAGGAGTACCCTGGTGTCCCCTTTTTGTAAGGCAAACCATTTTAGAATGGTCAGAGAGTTTCTGGCAGTGTCTTTATTGTGGTGGCGGGAAGTGGTGCCTGGCAGAAACCATTCTAGAACAGTTTGATTACTTACAATGAGAGGGTCCCAGGACACTACTGCCACCATTAAAACTATAGTGAGCTGTAGTGGTTACAGTGCGGGAAGTGCTACTTTAATTTTAACTCCTTGAAGATTACAAAAGAGTCTAGGGAGATACGCTGGAACAATTGGTTATTTCTCATAATGTTGTAGACATTATTTGACTGAAGTGAAAAATTATGAAAATAACAGAACACAATATTTTTGTTTTTAGACAGATCAAGACATTTTGAAACAATGTAAACATTCAATTTACTAGTTTCCAATGCTATGTTTTAATTAAGATCTTTACAAATTTACACCAAAATTTTATTTTAGCATCTTGGCAGAGGCTGAGTGACAGGCAACAGAGGGTTGTAGTCAATGGAGTATATTCGAAGCAAGGTCTTGTTACCAGTGGGGTACCTCAGGGATCTGTACTTTGACCCATTCGCTCTAATATTTTTATTAGTGATATTACAGAAGGTCTTGGTGGTAAGGTATGTCTTTTTGCTGATGACATTAAGATTTGCAACAGGGTTGATGTTCCCAGGAGGGATAAGCCAAATGGCAAATCATTTAGCTAACTAGAAAAAATTATCAGAGCTGTGGCAACTGACATTTATAAAAACTCAAGGGCAGTGTAAAGAATATTTGATACATTACTAACCTCAACATCCAAGGAAAGGGATTTAGGAGTAATTATTTCAGATGACTTAAATGTAGGCAAACAATGTAATAGAGCAGGGCTTCCCAAACTTTTATGGGCCAAGACCCACTTTTGAAAACTGTAATTTTTTAAAACCCACTTGCTTTTAATGCATATTTTAAAAATGAACACCATGGCAATCCGCTTTAGAGGCACACGTTTGGCAGATCATGGCAATCAGTTTTAGAGGCATACAATTTACACATTATAGAAATCATCTTTAAAAACATACAATTGCCAGACCATGGCAATCAGTTTTAGAGGCATAAAATTGGCACATTATGGCAACTTTAGACGCATAAAATGGGCACACCATGGCAACCAGCTTTAAATGCATACAATTAACACACCAGGGCAATCAGCTTTAAATGCATAAACTTGGCACATCATGGCAATCAGCTTTAGATGCATAAACTAACTTGGCACTTCATGGCAATCACTTTTAGATGCATAAACCTGGCACATCATGGCAATCAGCTTTAGAGGCATACAATTGGCACACCATGGCAAACAGTCTTAGATGCATAAAATTGGCACGTGATTGCAATCCATTTTAAAAGCATACAATTGGCACACCATGGCAAACAGTCTTAGATGCATAAAGGTGGCACATGGCTTTAGCTTTAGAGGCATACAATTGGCACACCATAGCAATCAGTTTTAGATGTACAAAATTAGCATATTATGGCAGTTTTAGAGGCATAGTTTGGCATATCATGGCAGTTTTAGGCATAATTTGGCATATCATGGCAGTTTTAGCACATCATGGTAATTTGTTTTAGAGGCATAGAACAAATGTATGTGTGTTTGAATGTAAGCATGTTTTTGTATGTGTGAATGTTGGTGTTTGAATGCAGGTGTGCATTTGTGTGTAGTGTATACACTTCCACACGCATACAGAGACACACACTGACACACATGCAAATACACAGACACACACACAATGACACCTGGTTTCCCACACACAGATACACACAGAGACACATGGACACACAAATACAAACACACTGACACAAAAGGACACACAGATACACATACACACAGAAATTGGAGGTGAGGGTGACAGTGTGGAAGGGAGTGTGTGTGCTGGTGACAATGTGGGTGGGCAGTGTGGGGGCAGGGTGAGAAAGGGTTACAGTGGGCAGTGGCAGGGGGAAAAGGGTTACAGTGTGGGGGGCATGGGGAGAAAGAGGTACAGTGGGGGGCAGGGTAAGAAAGGATTACAATGGAGGCAGGGAGAGAAGGGGTTACAGTGTGGGAGTGGGGCAGTTAGAGAAGGGGTTACAGTGTGGGGAGTGGGGCAGTTAGAGAAGGGGTTACAGTGTGAAGAGGGGGCAGGGTGAGAAGGGCATACAGTGTTAGGAGGAGGGCAGGAAAGAAGGGGTTACAGGTGGGGGGGGGAGAGTGTGGGAGGGGCAGGAGAGAAGGAGTTACAGTGTGGGGCATGGCAGGGATACAAGGGAGAGAAGGGGTTACAGTGTGGGGAGGGGGGGCAGGAGAAGGCGTTACAGTGTGGGAGGGGGCAGAGAGAAGAGGGGCAGGAAGAGAAGAGGGACAGAGTGAGAAGGGTTACAGTGTGGGGAGGGGGGGCAGAGAGAGAAGGGGTTACAGTGCAGGAGAAGGGCAGGGAGAGAAGGGGTTACAGTGTGTGGGAGGCAGAAATAGAAGGGGTTACAGTGGGGGGCAGGGTGATAAGGGGTTACCATGTGGGGAGGGGGCAGGAAGTGAAGGGGTTACATTATGGGGGGCAGGGAGAGAAGGGCTTACAGTGTGGGGAGGGGGGCAGGGAGAGAAGAGGTTACAGTGTGGGGAGGGGTGCAGGTACAGAAGGAGTTACAGTGTGGGGGGGGCATGAAGATTATGGGTTACAGTGTGGGGGCATGGCAGGGAGACAAGGGGTTAAATTCCATGGTGGTCCAGTGTCTCTCCCTGGTGGTTCGGTGGGTCAATGTTCCGGTCTGCA